ACATTGTAACATATGGACATATTCATTTACCTGTTTATCAAGACATTGTAACATATGGACATATTCATTAACCTGTTTATCAAGACATTGTAACATATGGACATATTCATTAACCTGTTTATCAAGACATTGTAACATATGGACATATTCATTAACCTGTTTATCAAGATATTGTAACATATGGACATACATATTAAAAATGAATGTTTACAAGGTTGAAGTAAGCTACATGGCACTGAAAAGACTGTTTACAGTAATATATCACTTATATCATTCAATATGAAATTATTAAAGTATTGTATTTATTGTAAGCACAGTAATTATTGTTATTAAGTTATTGTTAATCGGATGATATCTGTGATGTAACACTAAAAAAGATAACAATATTTGATTAGTTATATAATATAATGAGTGACAATCTTAGTCAACTATGCAATATAATTTAGTGACCATCTTGACTGACTATGCAATAGCATTACAGGTTCAATGGCCTGTACTCTCAAATATTGCGAAAGGCTCTAATATTTGAATGATGCAACACAATAACTAACAATCTAGCTTAATGATGCAGTAAGACAATCTTCATCAGCTTAAATTTTGCAGTACAAAAATTACATATTTGATTGCATATTTCACACAGTAAATTACTTTTAGAAAATGCAATATTGTAGTCAGCACTACAATGACAATAATATCCTAATCTTGATCTAAGAAGAGCCGTTTACATTTGCAATTAAGGTCATCATCATCACTATGTTCTCCAGGGTTGGCCGAATGATTTTGAAAGGCCTTATGCTTACATATAATGAAAGACATACATGAATTAAAGAGAACACATACAGTAAAATCTCATCCGAATGCCTTTGGGACCGGCTAATAGTGTCCAAATTAGTAGGTGTTCACATTTCAAGGTTTTATAAAAGAGTATGACGTCTTTCAAATATTGCCCTTTTTTAGCCCACCTTATATCTCTGAGAATAGGCCCAAAGCTCCATGAAGCAACAGTGCAACATTCACATTTACAAGCTGGATCAAATCCTGTTTGGAACACTGATTTAATTAAAGACGTAGGTGAATAAGAAAGAAGACGTATTATGTAAAAAAAATCAAAAAGGTGGAGAGTGAAGTCTTTCAACATTTGACCATTTTTGGCTCACCCTATATCTATGAAGATAAGTCCAAAGCTCCAATAAGGCAACATTCACATGTTTACAAGCTGGATCAAACAAGATTATGACTTGTGTTTCTCTTAATTAGACTTCCTCACCAGTATTGACCCCACATTCATTTGTCTAAAACAATTGGCATTTTGGAAAACAAATTCAACAACAATACATCACTGGAAGGGTTACTTCATTAATCTTGTATGTCTTTTGTGCTTTGACCTTAGTTGGCCACAAAGAACATCCTTAATTTGCCATTTTTTGTTTGAGACTCTGACAAAATTCAATTATTGTCAAAACCTTGATTACGATGTTTTCAGCAACATGTAGAAGACAAGTTTTGTAAACTTAAAATTCAAAAATGTATCCTATTAAAGTTTATAGAAATTGAAAACAAGACAAAAAGTTAAGAATGAGAGAGCACAAAATGCAAAACACAAAGGGAATTAACAATTTAGATTTTTACTTTGAAATTAATAAAATAATTAATTTATCCTGAGTTTTATAAACCCATATTTTCAACTGCATGTAGTGAGCAAGATTTGTTAACTTAGAATAAGATCCCATAAAAGTTTATAGAAATTAAAAAACAAGATAAAAACCGCACAACTGCATTGGCATAATTTATGTATAACTTATAATGGTTGTATGGTCATTCTTCTCATGATTTAGTTTTGATAATTTCCACATCTTTCAATCAACTATGCAATAGATTTGCTTGAGACATCTATACATAAAATTGGAAAGAAAAGTATGTCCATTCATTCATTCTCTGTACAATAGACCTTTTCAATAAACCCCACCATCTTTTGGTCTATCAAAGAAGCTGGGATATATCGGCTGGCTAGATGATGTCATTGGTTGTTAATTCTGACCAGATAACATGACAAATATAGGAGAACATTCCCTTAAAGGTCCCTTTAAACTTGAATATTCATCAGTTTCAGTGGATCAATTTTCGTTTAACCCTTATGTTTCTGATAGATATACAAATCAAAATATGTCCAGTAAATGAAGATATTATCTGATCAATATGCAATACAAGCAAAGATATTTCACTTTTTGTAATTTTATAACATGAAGTGCATGGAGAATCTACCTGACCTACAAGTCATATTTTCAAAGGAAATTAAATTTTCAAAATTGATAAACAATTTTACATAGTAAACAATTACATAGCAAAACTACATAACAACAATACTGTAAAACCTGAACTCTAGTGAACACCTATCAACAATGATTGTATTTTTGGCATGTTTATAGAAGTCAGTGTTTTATATGCAAAATGAAGCACTTGCTTAGGAAACTAACATTAACTGAACTTATCTATGAGCTCTATAATTTGTCATAATGAAAACAAGGAAAGATAAATAATTAATTAGCACTATAAAATACCTAATAAATAATACATGAAATAAATCTATATCCTATTCTGGTCTTCCCCTTTCGGCACTCACCTTGCCTTATTCTGTTTACCTTATAAAATGTTTATCTATGTTAAAATTGTTTTATAGTTTACTGTAAAACTTGTAAAGTGGAACACCTCTAAAATGGAACAACTCTGTCAGTAGAACATTTTTCATGAGTTTCATAAGAATATTTTTTCCAAGACCAACTGACTTAATGTTAAATTAACCTTTATAAGTGGAACACCTCCCAAGTGGAACACTTTTTACAAGTACCAAAGCTGTTCCACTTAAATAGGTTTTACTGTAGTGTATTCAAGTTGCTTCATTATATTTTTCAGGTTCACTGTTGATGTGCAGGCATCCACGGGTGTTTCTCCTAAAAGGCCTAAGGTAAGGTAGGATTTAACTACAATTGTAGAACTTAATCTACACCCCTTTCATAAGCTTGGTAATCTGACTTCCCATATCTGAAATTCGTTTTTTTCCTCAAATATAATATTTTGAAAATCAATTTTTATCACACCCCTGGGTGCTATATTGTGATCAGTTTTTTAAAAACCATAAAACACAAAATGCCTTCGATAGTGTAGTCTACCAGGGGAGTTGAGTTTCCAAGCTTTTTGAGGGGAGTGTAGACCAGGAACATACATTTAGCAGTTTTAGTAAATACCATGACACTTTGTTTAAACATAAATTATGATGTCCCCTTGCTATATCTCTAAAATCTGATACAATGAATTATTTCTGGTTAAAGTATTGAATTATCTGAAAATAGCGTAGCTAATCATGCGGAATTGGCACAAAATTATTTCATGTAATGTAAACTTTTTAGAAATATTCCAGAAAAATATGAGAACTCAGGGCAGTTTTTATGCACATTATACATTTAAAATATTTAGAAAATAGCATAAAATCAACACTGAAATTATCAAAATGACCCATATATTAAATAAATAAAAATCCTTCATGTTATAATTAGCATCTTCCAAATAGTTTTACCAACTTTTATAACATGCAATAAATTGCACACAATCAATCATAATCAAATAACAAAAACATTACTTAATTAATTAAAAGGCTATTATAATACAATATCTTATATCAAAATTGAAGGATTTAATACAAATTGATGAAAGAATGATCGAATACCTACATCCAAGAATGAGATGAGTCTAATTGATTTTTATAGATCCATAGAGGAGGTTATGGTTACTAAACCCATACAGCTGCTCTGAAAAGATGCAGTTGTTTTCATCAAGGGGTGCCCGAAACCTTTATAATACCCCCTCACAACTGGATATTTCGTTGTAGTTTTTTTGCCAGTTGGAAGAGTTTTGAAAATGTTTAAAAGATGGCTCTCCTCACATGTAAAACAAGTAGGATTTAGCTTTGGATCCATCTTTGCGATGGAGTAGTTAGATTTTGATCAAACCCAATCTCTCCCATGCTACCTTTGGTACTAATTGCTCTGTGATGTCACACTTCAATCGGCAAAATATATTAATCCCCTTAATATGATATATATGTAATGTAAGATATGAAGGATATAGCAAGCGTCAAAAATCTTTTGACTGTATTTTGGAAAAATATAAGGTTCCCAAGATGTATTCACTTCAAGAAGGTTCCCAAGATGTATTCACTTCTAGAAGGTTCCCAAGATGTATTCACTTCTTAGAAGGTTCCCAAGATGTATTCACTTCTAAAAGATTCCCAAGATGCATTCACTTCTAGAAGGTTCCCAGGATGTATTCACTTCTAGAAGGTTCCAAAGATGTATTCACTTCTAGAAGGTTCCCAAGGTGTTTTCACTTCTAGAAGCTTCCCAAGATGTTTTCACTTCTAGAAGGTTCCCAAGATATATTCACTTCAAGAAGGTTCCCAAGATGCATTCACTTCTAGAAGATTCCCAAGGTGTATTCACTTTTAGAAGGTTCCCAAGATGTTTTCACTTCTAGAAGGTTCCCAAGATATATTCACTTCAAGAAGGTTCCCAAGATGTATTCACTTGTAGAAGATTCCCAAGATGTATTCACTTGTAGAAGGTTCCCAAGATGTATTTACTTCTAGAAGGTTCCCAAGATGTATTCAATTCTAGAAGGTTCCCAAGATATATTCACTTCAAGAAGGTTCCCAAGATGTGTTCACTTCTAGAAGGTTCTCAAGATGTATTCACTTCTAGAAGGTTCCCAAGATGTATTCACTTCTAGAAGGTTCCCAAGATGTATTCACTTCTTAGAAGGTTCCCAAGATGTATTCACTTCTAAAAGATTCCCAAAATGCATTCACTTCTAGAAGGTTCCCAAGATGTATTCACTTCTAGAACGTTCCCAAGATGTATTCACTTCTAGAAGGTTCCCAAGATGTATTCACTTCTAGAAGGTTCCCAAGATGTATTCACTTCTAAAAGGATCCCAAGATGTATTCACTTCTAGAAGGTTCCCAAGATGTATTCACTTCTAGAAAGAGCCTCTGGCATGGAGAATGTAGTAAATAATGTATTATCTAAATACTTAGCCTTCAATAAAGTATACATATAAAATAAGTATTGTATAAAGTATGTAAACCATAGTTGGGGAGAGTTTTCCTTGAAAGCCATCTACAACGCTCAGAATGGATAGTAAAAGAGGTTGCACATGACTGTATGTTGTTTGCTGGAATATCCAAATTATGAAAATTCATCATGCACTGTTCGTTTCAGTACTCTCCCCTATTCATATTATATAAAAAGTTCAAAATGCATGATGGCTTTAAATATAAAGCTATTGTAAAATGTACATATTTTGTAAATTCAGGCATTAGATGTACTTACAAGCAACCTTTTTATTGAGTGTTTAGTCTGAAAGTAACATGTTATTTTAACTATTTCTTATTGTCAAGTCATTAAGCATATATGGAATAACACATCATAATCTAACTGATGTGAGGCTTAGCTGTGCTTGCAAGTTAAAAATGTATGCTTATATACTAGCTAGATGCTAATACAGTATAATATTTTGGCTTTTGTCATATTTAGATTTATGTACAAATATATTCTTGGAAAATTTGGATACAGAGTTAATTAAAGTATACATTATAGTATGATCTAGATCTTATAACTCTTACCTCATCTAATCTTGGAATAGCTTTAACGAAGTTAAAGGAATTTCTCTTGACTGGTGGCCAAATACGTTTCCCATTTTCATCTATGGCATACTCTGAGGAGCCGGAGTCTGAGTCGATTTTCGATTCTTTTCTGAATTTTAATTTAAGGAGATTTTTCAGAGAATCTGCAATGGATTGGGTCTTCTTACCAGGAGCAGAATTCTCATTAGGTTGGTTTGGTATATTGTGTATTCTGTTAATGTTACCCGCAGAATGACTCCTCTTTTTATGCTCTATGGTGTTTTTGCGCACCAGCTTTGGGGTTCTGTATGCCACTTTATTGTGATCGTTACAGTTTGGTAACTCAATCGTAAACTCATCATCCTCACCAGATGTCGCTATCAGCTTCGTTTCTTTCGTCCTGTCTTGATCGTGATAGTGGGGAAACTCTGAGAAGACTATCAGGGGTACAGGTGTGGGGGAGGGGGTCATCCCGTCACTTGATGACTGACCCACAGATAGTAGCTCTGTCTGGGATGTTCCCATACCTGATGTGTTTATACGTAGCATGCTGTTTTCCAAAAAACTAGCAATGTGACCCTTTGATTCTTCAATTATCTCTATAACTATAGCCTGTCTCAGATATTCACTCCTTTGCGATCTGCTATTCCAGATTTCTTTTGTTTTCTATTTTGCACATATATTATTTATTTATTATTTATTTATTATATATTTCTGCAGTTGTAATATTATGTCCCACATTAATCCTGATACAGTATGTAGTTTATATAGAGATATTCAATAGTTCCTATGCATCAACTGGAATACCTTGGTGCAGAATCACATCAGTATGTTTAATCCACGAACCTATAGATATTTCCTATCTTCTATTATTGGATATATAAGTTGTATTATACATGAGCCATATCCTTCTATTTAACTTATTCCTTTTGTATTATTGTATTACGTACATCTGATAGTCTATCAAGGCCTCCTATGTTTTGTATTTATTATTAATTTTCCGACAATGTCAATCAGTGCCTGGTATCTCATACTCCTTCTGATATGTTTAACTAATTGTTTCACGGTTACATTCCGTTGTAATATATAGTAATCATAAGCTACACAATTCCTAATTTCTTATGTGTAATATTTACAGTAAGAAGAATTTATATACAAATTTATTTACATGTATATAAGCGTTTTTGCATATCTATAGAACTAACGAGGGTCCAGCGGGACAATGGTAAATGGCATCATCTTTTCTCTTTTCCGTATTTTTCCGTATTTTTAAGTTTCCTGGATGTATATCATTCTATACCCATATTAGGATCTCTTAATTCCTTTCCTCTCAAAATAATGAGATTTTTGCGTTTTCTTACAATTTATATTTTTATCTCAACATCAGTTTATTTTACTCCTCGACTGCGTTCATCATTGCCACTATTCCCATTTGACCACAGTAACACTTATTCTGATTTTGCTCTCCTCTCATCTGAACTTGATGGCTACCTTGTGCTACGGCTCAACCTTAATCTTATAATAATTGTAGATTTGTCTGGTTATAATATTTGACTTTGTCTAATCCCTCTGATGTGAAACATTAGTGTTTAATTAATTTATTTCTGCTAGCCTTGCCATATACCAGTCTGCAGATATGCAGTCTATTCCTGACTAAATCTTCTTCCGTGTGATGCCCATATTTTGCACTCTTAATAAATTGACTTATTTTCTAGTGATATATAATTTAGTGTTGATTAAGTGCATGCAGTTTATATTATTCCTTGTCGATTTCGTTTCAAACTTACGAATAAAACCACAATGGCATATGCCTTATGGGTATATTATTGAATTAGATTTGTACCCACAAGTGCCCATGTTACCCAAAGTCCTGATATGCTCGTAGAAAATACTTAATTCAATAAAATAAAATGCTTAATACTGAACAGCAACTTGAGAGGGAGGGAACATCGTGATTTAGAATAAGTTACTATTGTCAAATAATTAGAAGTGACAAAATGCACCCATATAATTCTATTATAGAAACATCACATGGTTAACGTCTTGTACACGAGTCACATGACATTCCTTAAAGGGATGTATGACATCACACTGTTATGTCACAATCTCGACAACACGTTGGGATCTCAACCGTTTCGAGTTTGCGATAGTTCATCTTCGAGAGGTGAATTTAACAATAGCAGTCAATGACAGAAGTGAGACACAAGGTGTTTTTGCTTAAAGATGTTTTCACACAGAGGTGTTCATTGTACAGATAGAGGTATATTACAGATGTGTTTATCATACAGATATCCTTATCATACAGAGGTGCTTACAGGTGTTCTTCATATTGAGGTACTTATCTTACAGAAGTATTTATCATTCAGAGGCGCTCAGCATATAGAACTTTTCCATCTTACAGAGTCATTCATCATACAGAGGTCGGGATATATGCTCATTGTAAAGAGGTGTTTATCATAAAGAGGTTTTCTTCATATAGAGGTATTCATCTTATAGAGGTGTTCATCATATAGAGATGTGATTCTATGCTCAGTACAAAGAACTGTATACCATACAGGGGTGTTCATCATATCGAGGTGTTTATCTTACAGAGGTGTTCATCATACAGAGGTATAGATCTATGCTCATTGTGAAGAGGTATCATAAAGGGGTGTTCATCATACAGAAATGTTCAACTTATAGAGGTGTTCATCATATAGAGGTATGATTCTATGTTCGTTGTAAAGAGGTTTATATCATAAAGGGGTGTTCATCATATAGAAATATTCAACTTATAGAGGTGTTCATCATATAGAGGTATGATTCTATGTTCATTGTAAAGAGGTTTTCATCATGAAGGGGTGTTCATCATATAGAAATGGTCATCTTATAGATATTTTGATCATACAGAGTTGTCATTCTTTGGTCATTGTGAAGAGGTGGTTATCATAAAGGGGTGTTCATCATTTAAAAATATTCATCTCACAGAGGTGTTTGTCAGAGAGGTGTGGACCTTACAGATCATACAAAGGTGCTCACAGGTGCTCATATTATAGAGGTGTTCTTCATATAGAGGTGCTCATCTTAAAGTGTTTTTCAAGAAGAGAGGCTTCATTATATTACTTGTATGAGATAACATTCCTGTATGTTTCATGTTATTGTGATGTCAGACTCTATGATGGTTGATAACAGTGAAATTGGATTGTGTATAAGTAAATTATATCTCAGCTTGTATTATGTGAAATGATGTATGGAACACATGGAAGTAATTCCAGTGGCTTATGCAAGAATTATACAGTTATCTTAAATCTAATGTTATTGAAAGATTGTTCATACAGCTTGTCAATTTCAGTGTAGGTACTCATGTTGACTGTATGGATCCTTTGTAACTGAGCAGGTGCTTTAAAATGGATCATTTGTGACTGAATGGGTGCTTTGTAACTGGGATCTTAAATGGATCCTTTGTTATTGAACTAGTTCATTGAAACTGGAGGGATCCCTTTTGAATAAGTGAATCCTTTGTAACTAAATAGATCCTCTGTGACTCAACATGTTCTTTCTAACTGTAGAATAATTTTTGACTGACTGGATCCTTTGTAACTTAATTGATGCTTTGCAACTGAAAGGGCTTCGTTGTAACTGGAATTGAATAGATCCTTTGTCATTGAATGAGTTCATTGACGAATAGGTCCCTTGTGAATTAGTGAATCCTTTGTAACTAAATAGATTCTCTGTGACTCAACATGTTCTATCTAAATCATTTTTGACTGAATGGATCCTTTGTAACTTAATTGATGCTTTGCAACTGAAAGGGCTTCGTTGTAACTGGAATTGAATAGATCCTTTGTCATTGAATGAGTTCATTGACGAATAGGTCCCTTGTGAATTAGTGAATCCTTTGTAACTAAATAGATTCTCTGTGACTCAACATGTTCTATCTAAATCGTTTTTGACTGAATGGATCCTTTGTAACTTAATTGATGCTTTGCAACTGAAAGGGCTTCTTTGTAACTGGTATTGAATTGATCCTTTGTCGTTGAATGAGTTCATTGACACTGAATAGATCCCTTGTGAATGAGTGAATCCTTTTGTAACTAAATAAATTCTCTGTGACTATCTAAATCATTTATGACTGAATGGATCCTTTGTAACTTACATGTAATAGAGTACTCTGTGACTGAATGGATCCCTTGTAACTTACATGTAATAGAGTACTCTGTGACTGAATGGATTCTTTGTAACTTACATGTAATAGAGTACTCTGTGACTGAATGGATCCTTTGTAACTTACATGTAATAGAGTACTCTGTGACTGACTGGATCCTTTGTAACTTACATGTAATAGAGTACTCTGTGACTGACTGGATCCTTTGTAACTTACATGTAATAGAGTACTCTGTGACTGAATGGATCCTTTATAACTTACATGTAATAGAGTACTCTGTGACTGAATGGATTTGTTGTATTTGAATGGATCATCTGTGACTTAATATGTAGTTTGTAAGTGATGAATCATTTTTGACCAACTGGATCCTTTAATTTAATTGATATCACTCCATTGTTTCTTTCATTATTGACAAGACCCATCATTGTACTATCATCTCATAGAATCTTGACCTCATCATGCAATCATATAAATAAATGATATAATGTTGAAATGTAAATATGAATGAGGATAGGATAGACATAAGGGATAAAGAATAGTTTTGCTTCTGAGTACTGATCAATCCCTTATCTATGAAGGTGCTTACTTATTACTGCCCATGGTCTCGAGCTACTTGTGTATTTTAACCACTTGCTATTTACAAAGACCCTTTATCTTACTCTATTTCTTTCAATAGACTTTTGAGCAAGTCCCCATGTTCTGAAGTACACATCTGAGGTTGTCCATATTTGCTGTTATGTGGATGTCTACTAAATTATGTATCTTTGATTTGATTGGTAATTATCTTACTTTTCCCAAGAGAAATGCTCCTTACAGGGATCATTCAAACATGTTCCATTGAATGCAACGAAGTTATTACAAATCATTGTTATAAGGCTCCCTCACATATGATCGAATCCACTAAACGCAGTCTTGCAAATTTAACATATTGTCAATTCTGGCAATTGGGAACGTAAACATGCGAACCGAAGCGCATCTTTGCTAGTGCTTCCGAAGCTTTTCGAATGGATATACGAACACACTAACGATGAACAATGTACATTATGCTAATTGGAACAAAATGTACTCAAGTCATATTCCAAGACTGCGTTTAGAGGATATGTTCATATGTGAGGTGGGGGGGGGGGGGGCGTTATTTACAACATTCAATAATATGACAAGGATGTCCCTGGATATTGACAAGGGAGTTCCAAAAATGTTTTGTTCATAAAAAGTATATTCACTAAACTCGAAACCATTTTCTAATTGGTATGGCGACTTTCAAAAAGACACTGGAAAACAGTTAAGAATTTGATTTCTTGAAAAGTATTTATTTAAACATTTTCTTTTTGGTTGTAATACTGTACTTAATATTTTCCCCTTGATATACAAACATGTTCATCTCTACTTCATCAATGATTAAATCTCTTTCAACCTGGTTAAATGGCAAGCCAAACCATACCAGGTATTCTTTACTGTAAAATGTCATTGAAATTAAATAAATAGCAATCTTAAAAAATTGTGAGGTAAAAGGTTAACATTTTCAATCTCATGTTGATAGTATCTCTCTCACTTTGCATCGCAAACTCTGTCTGTCTCAGATTGAGAAGGTGTGGCTTACCATGATGTAACATTTTGGTAAGAATTAAGAGTTCTCTGAAATGTTAAAATCTCTATCAAAATCGTGTAATCCCCCTTAAAAATTCTCTCCTTAAGTATAGTTAATTATACTTTGGATGTCCTTTGTAAAGGTAAAACGGTGATTACATTTATATTCAAACTGACCATTCCAAAGTCAATTAACGGTTAAAGGATAATCAAACAATTACAACTGACAGCAACGTCAGACTGAATAACCATTTTTCCATTACGATGATCTAGTTGACGCCAACTCATTAGCTAAAAGCATTTTATCTGTATAAAGGATTTAAGCCCAGGACTCAGTGAATTTTAGACAATTTTAAGCATGATAGTTTTGTTTCAGACTTTGAATGAGGGCAAAAGTCTGAATTCAAAGGTTGAGCATAAAAAACATAATGTAATACATGAGAATATCATACCCAGCTATTTGTGAATACACTTTTAAAGACTTTAGGTACAACAAAGTATCCAATAAGTTTATTCTATATGATCTTTCTTTGTATTTGTTAATACTTTGTGATAATTGATATCACATTTGGTTTGATTGACCTTGATATTTAATTATCATCAGTGTGCATATCCAAGTGAAACAAACATGCAAACAAACAAACAAACAAACAAACAAACAAACAAACAAACAGACCAACAAACAAATAATTAATAAAATAAAATAAATGTACACAAAATACCCTCAAATAAAAAGCTTTCTCTGTTCAAATATTACAGACAGTGCTTTTTGAAGACATGTTGTTCAGTGAAATGTTGCTTAAAAAGAGGAATTCCTCAATTCATGGAAATATTGAGATCCAATCAGATTAAGAGTCTGTCTAAAAAGATAGCTGCCAGTTCTTGTTTTTAACTTAAAAGATGAGTTGGACAGATGAGCAGAGTGATATTCATGAAATTCTAACTAACTTTTGTCGATTGTCATAATTCTGTTAAAGGCACTTAACACAAGGCAATTTATGAGGCTGTATAAATGCTCAGTTATGAATTAAAATCTATAAGGAAAGTTTTTGCGTGACTCGACTCATATTATATTTTGCTTATCACTGTGAAGCGACTTGTCCAAACTCTAAGCCTGATGGTGTTACTCTACCATCAATGTATTCTAGTTCAACCCTTGAATCAAATTCAAACTCCTGTGGTTTGGACCATTCTTCTGTAGTGTCTCTGACTTCTTCTCTCATGTTAATGATCTCAACTGGATGTCCACACTGTTGTTGATTCATCAGATGGAGCCTTGTACTCATTGTTTTTCCATTCTCCATTTGGAGGTCATCGATATGAGCATCTGCATTATTCGAGGCTCTAAATTTAATTCTTCTCAATTTGTAAATTTGTTCATTGTAGTGTTTGTCAATCAAGGAATGTTGAACTTTTCTGTTTGTAGTTATTCTTTCTATTGCGTCAGAAGCATCCTCCTCAAGCTTCTCTTTAAATTTGGTCATATCTTGGAGTGCATCGTTGATTTCCTCCTCTCTCTGCAGAGATATTTCAATGAGGGAGCTGATGTCTTGAATGTCTTGTTTTATGACTTTGGACAGCTTACGGTACTTGTGACCACTATGGGTGCCCCGGCAGCAATCACTGCAGACAATATCATTGCAACTTCGGCAATAAAAGTTTAATTCTTCATCCGGGTGAGATGAGCATATTTGCATCTTGTTGAACATATGCGTTATTGATTCGATGGCTTTATCGCCAGTTTTACCAATTGGAATTATTGAATGGTCTTGTACAGCCTTAATGTTCTTATGCGCCCTACTGCAGACTCTACATGTGTACTGATTGCAGTCAATGCACTTGGAGGTTGCACAAACCCTCTCATCATCCAGCATGCAGATATCACAAAGGCGTCCAGTTATCTCATCTTCTTCTTGTCTATGGATCTGATCTAACATATCATTCAAGATATAGTTGCCCTTTAAGCTTTTTGCACCATCTATTGGTGGGTCGAACTCAACGTTACAGATAGGACATGGGCATTTTGATTGGCCCTGTTCTTGTATCCAGTTGTCTAGGCAACCACAGCATATTGTATGCATGCAGGGGGTCACCTTAGGGTTGGCTAACACTTCAAAGCATATAGGACACTTCAGAATATTGAGATAGCTAGCCTCATTTGGATCTGATTTTGAAGCCATATTTTCTGAAATAATCGAATAAAATTATGAGAAATTGATAAAAGTCAGTTTGCAATTTGTAATTTTCAAATGTTGCCCTTTATATTACTTTCTTTGCAATTGTACATTTTGCAATGTTGTGCAACCAGTTCCTTTTTTGCAACTGCAACATCAAGTGTTCTTTTGATTTTGTTTTCCTACTATAGACAAACTTTTCGAAGTTCATGCTTTGTCATCAAATACATGTATTTTTCATTATGTACTTTGATAATATGTATGTAAATTGTACCTTTTGTGAATTAAGCACCAAGTCAACCAGATTCACCCAACTCTCAGTTTTTTGTCCTAAATGTCATGCAAAATGTTTCACTTTGGTCTCAGTGTATTAAATACACTTCCACAATGTTGTTTAGAACTTAGCTAATGATGTGACTACTCTTAAATGACTGTTCTAAATATGAGTTTATTGTGAGTAGGTTTATCCCAGTTGGTGGCATTGTACAATGTACTATTTGAGACCAGATTAGGGATGGTGTCGAATTGGAATCAATTGTGGATGAGTGAAGTGTTCATTTTTTGTGAGAGGGGTCGATGATGGATTCATTTGTAAAATATTTCAATTACCTAATGCATGATAAATCAAAATTTGCATGTGTTGTTGTACTGGGAGAGCAGTGTTAAGCCATAATGAAATTTATCTGATTTTTCTTTACTGTCAACATTTTGACGAGAGCCCTCAGAAGGCAAAAGTTAATTTTAAGAATGAATAAGTTTTCAGTTAATTGGCACAGCTATGATACATATAGAGATTATTTAATGAGTGAAAATATGATATTGGCCAAAAAATATCATATTGACCGAAGGTGATAGCCTGAGTGTCAATATGATCATTTCTGAGGCCAATATCATATTTTCTCAAGGGGAAAAATCATATTCCATTACAACCATCAATAATCTATATTTTTCTGAAACGTACGTATTTAGTTTTGTATGTCTTAATTTATTATCTGTCATTTCAACTTTTATAAACAAGTTTTAAAATAGAATGAAAAACATAAAAATATTGAGAAATACCTGGGAATAGTTCTGATACAGGATCTAATACGAGATTTTTTGAATATCAGTTCTATTCCCTCTTTATTTCGCAGGGAAAACATGTTATAATAGAATAAAATCTGAAAATGACATACCATATAATAAGGTAGATCGGCATGAGGAGTAGTTTTGTGTTATTTTCAATTATCAATATTTCATGAAGTGTGCAATATTTTTACATTTTATCCTGATATTCACTTACTATTTTAGAATACATATACATCGTTCAAAATCAAAATACTTTGTCAAAATTGTTTTGAAATAACATTGCTACAAATCATTTTTTGGAGTTTTTCTGAATATGTAGAAATACCTAAATGGTTGATCTCATGAGGGAGAAATCATTCTTTTACTTTCTTATTGATATTCATTGTCTTCATTTAATGCTGTCTAAAATGTAATATATTTGGCATTATATTGGTACACAGACAAACTCTAACACTGTAACCCTATGGTACTATAGACTCAAATGACACCATACTCAAACGGTACTGTATGGTAATATACTCTTAATATACTGAATGGTACCATGATTTCAGAGTGTGGATTAGGGCTACATCCCTCGTCACAATGTTATGATATTTACAATGATATTTCATTTTGATATTAAGACATAAAATATCAAATCCTAAATCTCACATATATATGTTAAAGCAAATACATAAATGTGCAAGGTGCCCAATAAATAAAATGAAACAGCACTTGATAAATAATGTGAAATCCCAACATGCTGACACCTTGAAATATTATCTAATCCTATTATACTCAATCTGGGATACTGAAAAAGTCATAGTCAATAAATAACAGTTTCTTATTTAGTGTTTCAGCTTATTATGTCACGTCCCTATAATATTACAAGCAGTACACCAAAGTTTATCCCTCACAAAACATAAATTGTAAGCTTATTATATCTTCCTCCAGAGAAATACCATATTGACTTTAGATAGGTACTATATATTGACTTAAGTGTGACTTAAGGTACCATGTTGATCTATACTATTTTAACGAGGTACCATACTCATTTTAAGAAAGAAACAGCATGATTGAAATATGGGTTTTCGGAAAAGACCGACCCCACCAACCACCGACCGGTCGGTGTTTTCCACTGGTAGCCTCAAAACAGGGTTTGAAGAAAATGTGTAAAAGACCGACCATATCATGTAAAAGACCGAACATATTTGTAGCCTTAGAATATTAATAATTTGATTTTGAATGTCAATCGTTGGACTAGGCAACGTTTTTTGCCGATTTTGTACCTTGCAACGAATGGCAAGCAAACAAATTGGTCATGACCGTCTCCTCTCGATTAATTGCCCTGCCTTAGGTCCTAACCTATCATGAACCAACCTATCGTTTCTACGGGAATCTATCCTAATTTTTTACTGAAATTTAACAATTTCGAAACAAAAATGATTTGTTATCGTCATAGCCTACTGAATACTGAACACGATATAATGTTACATGCGTTCTCTTATCGGGATTAAAAGTGACTTACCATTTCAGTACACCATTAGAAAGCTTTTTTTTGTCATATCAAATGTAGTTTTTACCAGTTGACGTTTAACAACTGAGAAATCAAACATAACGTTACGACGTCAACATCGACGATGTTTGTGTGTTTTTGTTATTGCGTTTCATATGAATGAAGAATGAACGTAATGCAATGTTACGTGCGTTTTTTTCCAAAGTGACTAACCAGGATGAAATTGGTCTTCTAACAACTGAAACATCACTTGAAAATATGACATTACACACCACGACGATGTAACGTTTTCATCGTGATTTGAAATGATAATTATACGTTTTTAAATCACGACCTAGTAAAGGCACTATAGTCATTGGATTCCCAGTTTTAGTTTTACCTCTAATTTTGCATTTTTTCATCTTTATGTAAAAGACCGTCAGCCGACCACCGACCACATGTACCCAACTGTGGAGAGTGACTGGTCGGTGGTCGGTGGTCGGCGGTCGGTGTTTTACGAAAACCCTTGAAATATATTCTTATTACAACAAAGAATGAAGTACACTGTATGAAAATAAAAAAACCACTTCTATTTGGGATCATCTGTAAAGTACTAAGTAATTGATCTAAAAGATCAATCTGAAATTGCCTTGAGGATTAAGTATACTTGTTATACAACTAAATTGGAAGTCCCTAGTCGGGAGATTCGGGATTATGTAAGATACAGTATCCATATTTTTCCCAATACCCTTGCAATAGTTGTAATTATGTACTCTTTGCATTCGTTTGACTTGACTTCTTAAAAGAGAGCTTCATCTTCACTCTTTCAAACTAAAATAAACCTGTGAACTCACCGCGCCAATCAGTGTTCGTCGGCCAAATTTGACCGACGTTCTATATATGGTCATTCCTTCTGACTTCATCGTTGAGCCCGGAATTGACCAATGACATGCGCATATTTAATTAGCACGTATGTTTCTTCAAGCTCACTGATTGAGGGAAGAAAGGTCAGCGCGTAGGTCAGAAGTGATTACCCAAACTGTCACCGGTACCCATCGTGGGGGCGGGGCTACTAAACTGTAATATGGTCTCTACTAGGCAGAGTGTAGTTTAACTAGACTCTGCGCGCAGGGTAGTAATTATGCAAATTGGAATGGTGTATACATCTGGAATAAAGTGCTCATTAATGTGTCATAATCTTGCAACATATTACATTGTGCTCATCTGAGTCTCTAACCTTATTCTGAGTCTCTAACCTTAGTTTGGGTCTCTAACCTCAGTCTGAGTCTCTAACCTCAGTCTGAGTCTCTAACCTTAGTCTGAGTCTCTAACCTTAGTTTGGGTCTCTAACCTCAGTCTGAGTCTCTGACCTTAGTCTGGGTCTCTAACCTTAGTCTGAGTCTCTAAACTCAGTCTGAGTCTCTAACTTTAGTTTGGGTCTCTAACCTCAGTCTGAGTCTCTAACCTTAGTTTGGGTCTCTAACCTCAGTCTGAGTCTCTATCATCAGTCTGAGTCTCTGACCTTAGTCTGAGTCTCTGACCTTAGTCTGAGTCTCTAACCTTAGTCTGAGTCTCTAACCTCAGTCTGAGTCTCTAACCTCAGTCTGAGTCTCTAACCTCAGTCTGAGTCTCTAACTTTAGTCTGAGTCTCTAACCTCGGTCTGAGTCTCTAACCTCGGTCTGAGTCTCTAACCTTAGTCTGAGTCTCTAACCTCAGTCTGAGTCTCTAACCTCGGTCTGAGTCTCTAACCTTAGTCTGAGTCTCTAACCTCAGTCTGAGTCTCTAACTTTAGTCTGAGTCTCTAACCTCAGTCTGAGTCTCTAACCTCGGTCTGAGTCTCTAACCTCGGTCTGAGTCTCTGACCTTAGTCTGAGTCTCTAACCTTAGTTTGGGTCTCTAACATCTGTCTCAGGATGAGTGAAGAGACTCAGATGCTACTTTACAAAATGATCTAGGTGGTGCAGCATGAAAAAACACTCAGTGGAGCTATCAATGTAAAAGATTGAGTTCTCTCCAAAAAAGGTTTGCAATGTACATGGTGCATGCTAGAATATGAACATCAGTTGGATGAGGAGAGCCTGTGTACGCGAATGACACTTATCCTTGGTATCAATTCAATGTGATCTCATACTTTTGCAATTCTGATTGTTCTCATCGATGTGTCTCATACTCTCACAATCAATTTGATTGTTCTTATCAATGTGTCTCATACTCTGACAATCAATTTGATTGTTCTTATCAATGTGTCTCATACTCTCACAATCAATTTGATTGTTCTTATCAATGTGTCTCATACTATCACAATCAGTTTGATTGTTCTTATCAATGTGTCTCAAACTCTCACAATCAATTTGATTGTTCTTATCAATATGTCTCATACTTTCACAGTCAGTTTGATTGTTCTTATCAATGTGTCTCATACTCTCGCAATCAATTTGATTGTTCTAATCAATGTGTCTCATACTCTCACAATCAATTTGATTGATCTTATCAATGTGTCTCATTCTCTCACAATCAATTTGATTGTTCTTATCAATGTGTCTCATACTCTGACAATCAATTTGATTGTTCTTATCAATGTGTCTCATACTCTCACAATCAATTTGATTGTTCTTATCAATGTGTCTCATACTATCACAATCAGTTTGATTGTTCTTATCAATGTGTCTCAAACTCTCACAATCAATTTATGTTCTTATCAATATGTCTCATACTTTCACAGTCAGTTTGATTGTTCTTATCAATGTGTCTCATACTCTCGCAATCAATTTGATTGTTCTAATCAATGTGTCTCATACTCTCACAATCAATTTGATTGATCTTATCAATGTG